GTGAATTACTTTAAAACTCTTTATATTGATCCCAACCCACATGATTCTATGCTTAACACCTAACACATCCTTTCCCTCTCTGAGAGATTCTAATAAGTTGCTTCTCTCGCTAACGGTTTTCATAGAAGAAGTTAGGGTTGCTTTATTTAGTATTAGTAACTTTAAGTCTCTTGGGTTAGATGGGCTTCATTCCTATTTTTTAAAAAACCAAAGGCATGTCCTAAGCCTTTATAAGTTTGTGTTAGATGTGTTTCAGAACCCTAGCAAAATAATTGATGTTAATGAGACCTGCATCACTTTAATTCCCAAATCACATAAACCTATATCCATTAAATAATTCAGGCCCATCTCTCTGTGTAATGTGAGTTATAAGATCATAACTAAAATTATAGCTAACTGGTTAAGAAAGTCCTTACCCCCATTTAATTTCTGCCAATCAATATAGTTTTATTGAAGGGAGATAAGGGACTGATAATGCCTTGATCCTCCAGGAAATAATGAATTCTTTTCGAAATCTTAAAAGTAAAAATGGTTACATCATTGTTTAACTTGACTTAGAAAAAAAAAACATATGATAAGCTTAGATAAAATTTCATCCTTGACAATTTAGATAAGGTTGGCCTTAATCTTGATCTGATTAACCTCAATAAGTTCTGCTTACTTCTTCTATGGTTATAAATTAGAACAATAATACTACTAGGACTTTTAAGCCTACTAAAGGTATTCGTCAAGGGGATCCTATATCTCTTTATTTATTTGTATTATGTGTCGAGAGACTTAGTCATCTCATTCATAATAGGGCTCCTTTCTGTTTTGGTTGCTATAATCTGTGTGTCTCTTACCTTCTCTTTGCTGATGATACATCCTAATTACTAAGGCTAACACTTTTCAAGCCTCTATCATCCAAAACATTTTGAACTCTTTTTGTCAAGTTTCTGATCTAAAGATTAACATCGACAAATCTTTAATATTTTTCTCTAATAATACTCATTCTGACCTTAGAAAGTAAATTAGTGAGATTTTGGGCATCAAGTCAACTAGTCAATTTGGTAAAATATTTAGGCATTCCTACTAATCCCCACAAATCATCTAAGACCCATTTTTCTTTTTTGATTGATAAAATCAAGGAGAAACTCTCCCTTTGGAAGATAAATACTTTTTCTCTAGTTGGTAGGGTTGTTTTGGTTTAGTCATGTCTCTTGAGTATACCTTCTTATGTAACGCAAACTACTATTATCCCTATTATTGTGTGTGAGAAAATTAATTGTCTTTGTAAGAAATTTATTTGGAGATCCCTAGACACTAAAAAATGTCACCTTATTGGCTGGAATAAAATTTGTAAACTAAAGAATAAAGGGGGATTAGGTTTCAGAAACCTGACCATGCTTAATAAAGCCTACATTATGAAATTATGTTGAAGAATTTACACATCCCCTTGTGATCTCTGGGTTCAGGTCCTATGTAAGACATATAAATTTTCTATTAGTCAAGAGCTGGAACTTAGGATTAACAACAAGGCTTCTCCCTTTTGGAAAAATATCTCCTTTGTTTGGTCTTTATTTCTTCAAGGTCTTAGTTAGGGATTAGGAATGACCTTTTAGTTAGGTTTTGGATGGACAAATAGATTCCTAGGTGTTTGAACTTGAAATCCCACTCCCTACACCCTATTCTTGAGAGGGATTGGACATCCCTATGACCTTTTTCTCTAACAATGGCAATTGGGATTGGGATAAACTTCATTCCCTACTTCCTGAACACATTTATGAGGAAATTGCTAAAGTTCCTCCTAATTTATTTAGGGGGCAAGATTCAGTCTTCTGGGACTTATTTAGTAATGGTCTCTTCTCCATCAAAACAACATATCGATTAATCTCTCAGAATTTTCACCCTTCAACCCTCTACACTGATGTTTTTAAACATATTTGGAGATGGGATGGCCCTCCTACAGTGGCTTTTTTCCTTTGTAAAATCTCCAATGACAGGTTACTCACTAACGAAGAAAAAGTTAAGAGGAGAATGACTGACCTAGCTACTTGTCCTAGATGTGGCACTGCTCCTGAGACAATAATCTATGTTTTGTGTGATTGTTATTATGCTATAAGTATTTGAAATCATTTTGTCTTTTCTGATTAATGGATTTGGTTTTTCTTTGTAGGTTTATTTGGTTGGTTCTATGAGAATTTGTCTAATCCTAATTTGACTCTTTGGTTTCATTATTTGGCACCTCCGAAAAAGCAAAAATGCTTATGTTTTCCATAATGTGCCTATTCAGGCCCCTATTTTGATTCAGAAAATGATTTGTACTGCTGAGTATTCTGATTTTTGTGGCAAGAACATGCATCTCTCCCTCTCCAAGCTAGTGATGGATCATGCAAGGATTAGGTGGATTACTCCTCCACTAGGTCACTTGAAATTGAACAATAATGGGGTTGTTTGTAAACATCTACATTTTGCAGCATGAGAGGCCTTATTCGAGACTGGCAAGGCTGACTGGTGGCAGGTTTCTACAGTTTCTTGCCTCCTTACTCTCCTCTAGAAGCTGAACTTTAGGATATTCACCATGGCATCTAGTTAATTCTCCAGCAGAATGACCACAGACTTGTTGGATTGAAATCAACTCCAAGGAAACACTTAGAAGCATCCAATCCATTCCTCATGCTTCACATCCTTTGTATCATGTGATTTATAAAGTCAGGGATAGTATTAAACTTGTTGGCGATTGGATCATATTTTTAAGAAAGCCAACCAATATATTGTTAGATTAACTAAAATTGGCTTGAAATTTCTTTCTCCCTTAGTTAGCTTTAATCAAGCCCCTAGTGATTTGCTCTCCTCTTTATGCTTGGACATTTGTGGTATCAGGACCCTTAGATTCTCTCCCTAATTTGTTGGGCTTTTAGCTCCCATACTTAGAAAAAAAAAAACAAACAAACTTTTTATACAAGAACTTGACATTGCACGATAAAAGTTTAATAATAATCAATTTTTATATTTTAAAAAATGTCTATTATTTAGAAAGTAAAATATTTAGTATTCTCATTTATAATTTGTCATGTAAATATTTTAAGATTAAAATATTTAAAAAAATTATGTGTAAATTACGCTATTTTTAATATAATAAATTTATTTTTATTCATATTTATTTCTTTTATTTTTAATTTTAAAAATTATAGTTATTACTTAATATTTTCTTATTACCTTATATAAATTTTAAATTTTTCATAAATACATATTTTTATATTTATAAAAATTTTCTTATCATTTTATATAACTCTTTAAATTTTTTGTAAATACATATGTTAATATTTATAATTTTTTATTATTTTATATAAACTTAAAAAATTATAAATATTTATATTTATGTTTATAAAATTTTTACTATTTAAGTTATTATTTATAATATTTTTAGTATAAATTATGGGAAATTATATATCTTTATTTTTTAATAAAAAATATGTTTGCTATGCTAGAAATGGTAAAATTTAATATTAAGGGTGTTCGCAGATGAGACTAAATCCATTTCTGGATAAAAAGTCATTCTATCCTATCATAAAATTATTATATGTTTGATTTTTATTGATTTATAAAAAAATTAAATCCAATCCAATAAGAAGTGATTTAAATAGATTGGATAATTTAATTTTTTATAATTCAGTTAAAAATTAATAAATAAATTATTTTATCATTTCTTCTACAATATATTTAAATAAAGTTAATTTTTTCATATAAAAAATTGTAATATACAACAAAAATTATAAATTATTAAAAAATACTTATGTAATCATAATAATAACAAACTGTAACTTTAAAAAATAATAATTGGTACAAATTTAAAAAATAAAATCATAAAAAATAGTTAAGTACTATATAATTTTAAAAGAATAAGAAAAACGTTAAATTTATAAATTAAATGATATATACGCATAAATTTAGTTTGAATTGGACTAGATCAGATTAATTTTGCAATTTTCAAATTTTTTAATATTTAGTTAATTTTGGTTTGCCATTTTTTTATTTTGTTTTTGTAGTTTGTATTGGATTTGATTGGTTGGTGAATATATTTGGAGTTTACTATTTTCATTTGTTTATTTATTCTCTTAAAATTTGTATTATTTTTAAATATTTTTTAATTAATTTTTTAGTTAATTATAACAAATTTATTTTTAATATTATTGTGTCTTTTATTCTTTTTTATCTATCATGATATCATATATAAAAATTGTGTATATTTTTTAATATTTATATCTATTAACACAATACTACATATCTAAATTATATTTTTATCAATATATACATTATAATTTATTAATTTTTATTAATGTGTTATATTTGATTGGTCATGTAATCAAACAAAATTATTAATTTTTATATTTTTATATAATGTATTATGATGTTTTATATTTATAATTTTATAAATAATTTTTAACTTTACTTGATTTATTAACATTTATTTTTTATGTGATTTTTATTTTTGAAATAAATTTTATATATTATTATTTTTATAATGTTTTATAATTAAATTATTTTAATTTATATTTTTTAATTGAAATTTACTTTTAAGAATTTTTAAAATTTTTTCATTATTAATATATTGATTATTAATGATTAATTATTTTTTATATTATATTATTTTTATATAAATTATATTTTTAAATATTTAATTTTATTAAATTTTTATTATTTAAAAAATTAAATCAAAATAGTGTTTTTTAAAAAAGTTATAGTTTAAAGTAATTTAATATATATATATATATATATATATATATATAATTGTTTAAAAAATAATTTTTTTAGTAATTAAATTATACCTATATTTATTTAAAATAAAATATTTTTCCATTGCATATAACTACTAAACAACAACTAGTAGTAATAATAATAATAATAAAAACAAACGTTTAGAGTACTGCAAGAGAAGGCAGGCATGTTTTAATTTTTATAATTTATATGGAAGAAGGAAAAAAAGATTGAAAACAAGGACGAGGCGAAGAACACAAGACAAAGCTTTCCGACTATTTTGGTCTCTGAAGTTACAACACAAACACAGCCGCGAAAGGTTTGTGTCTGTAGCACTTGAATCCTTGTCCTGTCAATTTTCTCTTTTTGGGTACAATTAATCCTCACAATATGATGGTCTTCTCTTGTTCCTTTTGATTTTAAAATTAATTTTATTGCCTGAGACTTTTTGTGCTGTGCTTGTGGATTGTGGTTTATGTTTGCGTATTGTGGAATGTAGATATATTGATTTCAGTTTAGTTACGATTCTCTTTAATGCAATCGTTATTGAGGTTATTTACTGTCAAATTTTGTTTCGTCTCTTTTATTTTTTGGGGATGTTCTGGCGTGTTTTTGGGGCTGTTTTCAGGGCCTTGTTTGAACAAAATTGAACTAGTTCTGACGTTGAGGTCAACGCATAAATGCGTAGATACGTGCATTAATGTGTTTTTTTTTTGTCTGATATGAGGGATTTATTTTAAAATCTCTTGCGGATTTCTTCTTTGAACATATTTTAAGCACCAAACTGAGGATCAGTTATATGTCTCATGTTTTTTTTTCTTTATTGAGCAAAAATTTCTCCAATTTTTGGCTTAATATTTTTCAATCCTAGTGAACTGAGAAAGTCAACCTACCCAATAGCTCAGGTACCTTCCACTTCAGTTTTCCCAAACGCTGTGATACCCGCATTTCTTGTGTTGCTTGAGTGTCATTTCATAGGTTTTGAAATCTTCTCCATCCTTTCTTTTTAGTTATTTTTACATGGAAAATAACTCATAAGCTCTCATATTTGCATTTATTATATATATATATAATGGCTTTAGCGTTGATATTTACTGTTATTGTAATTTTTACCTTATCGAAAGCTGGATATAGAAACCTTTATTCCTTGGACTCCTTAAAACTTGTAGTGCAGCTTCTGCTCCTTCAAGTTAAGATTCTTTGTGTGTTCTTAAATGGTTTCATAATTTTACCTTTCGGTGTCCAGTTCTTCACTTACTTTGGGCATGTAACAATATTGGTTCGGTCTTTTACTGAGTTTAGGTATTGATTGCAAACTGTCGAATTTTTTATTATTGCAGCTTTAAGAGTGCTCAATAGGTGTTTGTTTAGAGGCTAACATGAGCTTTGTTTCACCATCACTTGGTTCTGCTGGTAAGTTCTTCTCTGAACTGTGAAGTCAGCACTTCTAGATCATGCCTGCAACTTAGGAGGTGTAATTTAATCCAATGAGGCATTCTTGCCGCAGTATCTAGAATTTTCTTGGGTGGATGACTGCGGTTAACTGTTAACTACAATGAAGGAAAATTGATTCCCTGTTTAGTTTTCTCTTTGTTATCACTCTCTCTCTATTTACTTAATAGTACCATTTCAGGTGGTAGATCTGCTAGAAGAGCATTTGAGTTTGGAAGAACCTATGTTGTTAGACCTAAAGGTAAACATCAAGCAACTATAGTTTGGTTGCATGGCCTCGGGGATAATGGCTCCAGGTGATATGACATTTCCTGTTTCTCTTTCCAAAGTTATATTGCTGCATTTATTCATGGTTGGAGAATATGTTTTACTGCTCATTTAATTTTCAACCATTATTTATAATTGCCTAGATAATTATGAATTAAAGGAATGGTGTCATAAATTTTGGCTTTTATACTTTTAACTGCTTTTATAGGTTTGTTAGCGTTTTAATTTTCAAATTTTAATCCCTTCTGTTAAATTTAAAATTCTTGCAAGTTGTTTTGTTCAGAATTGCTACATGTCCATGTTTCATAACATGAATAAAAATAACATATTTTTGATAAAATACATAAATATCATTTAGCCCTCTTAACTCAGACTATTATTACTGTTGACTTGTATGGAAATTTTCTAAAAGTATCTCCAAAACCAGTTTTGATACAATAGTAAGGAAAATGGGATATTTCCTTTTACTTTTTTGTTGTATTGACTATATGCATGATTATAGTTTCATTTTCTCCATCTCATCATATATTGGTCAAGTAAATGATAATTTTTAATTCTTTTCTTGTTAAATGCTCATAAGTTGTTTGTTCCCCTTTTGCATAATTTATTATTGCTTCTATTTGTTTTCTAAAATTATTGGAGCCTAATGGAGCAAATGCTATCCGAACAGAAACCAAGCAGGCTCAAACATCTATATGATGATCTTATCTTCTGTATCCCCTGTCACTCTTTCTTGACAAACAAGAATTCTATTTTGTTTTCTTTGGGTTTTTTCTTTTAATCTCTGATTTAACTAAACAAGAGATTGTTTATAGCTTTTGTCTACATATATTTTGGCATGTGGTGTCTGTGACTGCATAGAGATTTCTGGCCTATTTAAGTGGGTGACACTTCAGTTTGACTCTTATATTCACTTAACATCCTTTGCATTCTTTTATTCACTCAGTTTTCATCCTATGATGCAAGAATATAATATAGTTACACATGAAGTCAGATGTCTTTGCTTCCAAAAAATAATGCATCATGGGATTATCAACAATAAATAGTTATTGAAATAATTTGTTCATTTAGGCATTTAAACTTGTTAACTGTGACTGCATAGTGTTTCTTGGTCCAATTAACTAAATGGTATTTTGTTAACAGCAGTTGAATCTCCAATAATTATAGGTGTTCAACAACCTAATCTCCTATAGCAAGAACTCTATAGATTGATTTTGCATGAATGAGCTGTATTGACCACATAAAGCTATCAAATCAATAGAATTAAAGTGGCTCATTCCTAACTAGTCTTATTAGTATTTTTTAAAACTGTTAAATTGAACATCCTCCATAAGAAATTTCGTTTCAAATCTGTTACCAAATATAGGGATCTGTTTTGTTTAAGGAAATATTCTGTTTTCACTAATAATTTAAAAAAATGATACATGTTTTTTGAAATAGTTGTACGGGAAATGGTGAATCAGAAACAAAGTGAAAGGGTGACATTGTTGTAGTTATTAGTGAAAAAAAAAAAGAAAAAAAGAAAAAAATATTTCCTTAAACCAATTAGGCCTGACACTTTTCCAAGAATGATTTGAGTGCATCTTAGTGAGTAAAATTATCACTTGAGTGTTGATGAAACTTCTACATAATATTTGTTTGTCTATTTAAGAGGTTTTTATTTTGATGCATGACTTTCATGTCTGATTTATTATTCCTTCAAATGTCGTAGTTTATATGATGATTAAATGGAAAAACTAATGATGTTAATACTTAAAATATCAAAAATTTGAGGCGACACTACATTTTTTTTCTGCCCAACTGCAAAACATGATCTCTAACACTGAGGGACATCAATTAGGCAAGGGAAAAAACAGGATTCATGATGTTTTAGAATGCTTTTAATCATGTGGTTATCACGCAGAAGACTGAACCTCATTTTCTGCTTTACTTTTGCAGTTGGTCCCAGCTATTAGAGACCCTTCCCCTTCCAAATGTAAGGAGACAGAATTTTTAAGTTTTGAATTGTTAATGGAGAACATATCTGGCGTATGCTGAATATGTAAGACCATCTCTATAGTAATTTCAAAGCTCAACTTGAAATGTATGTATGATGCAGATTAAGTGGATATGTCCAACTGCTCCTACTCAGCCAATATCAATATTTGGCGGTTTTCCATCTACTGCTTGTAAGTTTTATTGGTTCCCCCTTTCGTGATTATTATTTAGATATCATAAACAGGCTCATGTGCTGCCACAGAGAAATTGTAGAATGATGACATCATTCTTATAATGGAATTTAACAGCCTTCTCACAGTATACATGGAATATGGAAATGCATTCCAGGACAGAGTAGGGTTTAAATCTTATAATAACCATAAATTGATCTTGATAAATTTCCTAATTGCAACTTCAATGTCTCTTAGGGTTTGATGTTGGAGAGCTTTCAGAAGATGCCCCTGATGATCTAGAAGGTTTGGATGCTGCAGCTACACACGTTGCAAATCTTTTGTCTACAGAACCAACAGACAGTAGGTTTCTCTTGCAATTGATTCATCCATGTTATCTTCTTTGTAGATTTCTTTAATTTTTTAAATATCTTTAATTTTTTAAATAAGAAATTTATTCTGTCTATGGCATGTCCTGTGACATAAAATTCTTATTTTGATTGGGCCCTATCAGATAACGTTTGACTGAGAAAAGCTACTGGTCTGCCCTCCTGTAATAACACTCCCAATCCTCTACTAGAGGCATCTGTCTCCACAATAAAAGTTTTTGTAAAATCTGGAACAGTGAGAACTGGTAATGCTGTCATTGCGCCCTTTAAAACATCAAAAGCTTCTTGAGCCTCCTTACTCCACTGAAAACTGTCCTTCTTCAGGAGCTGTGTTAGAGGCTTGGCAATGCTCCCATAATTCTTAACAAACCTGCGATAATAGCCCGTAAGGCCCAAAAATCCTCGTAGCGCCTTCACATCTTTAGGGGTAGGCCATGTCATCATAACTTGTAGTTTTCTTTGGTCTGCTGCCACTCCTTGTTTGGAGATGATGTGACCCAAATATTCTATATGCTTTTGGCCAAAATTACACTTTTTTCTATTGGCAAATAATTGATGTTCCTTCAAAAGCTGCAGTACTAGCTGAAGATGTTTTGCATGTTCCCCCTCACCTTTACTGTAGATTAAGATGTCATAAAAAAAAAACAGGGACGAACTTCTGCAAATAAGGGCGTAATACCTCATTCATTAAAGATTGAAAGGTTGAAGGAGCATTAGTTAATCCAAAAGGCATTACCATAAACTCATAATGTCCTTTATGTGTCCTGAAAGCAGTTTTAGGAATATCTTTTTCCCGCATCCGAATTTGGTGGTAACCTAATTTCAGGTCCAGTTTTGAAAAAATAGCTGCTCTGGGTTCATCCAACAATTCATCAATAATGGGAATCGAAAATTTATTTTGGAATTGTAATCTTGTTGAGGGCCTTATAATCCACACAAAATCTCCACCCACCATCTCTTTTTTTTACAAGAATGACTAGACTAGAATAAGGACTTGCACTCAGCCTGATGATACCAGAGACTAACATATCACTCACAAGTTTCTCTATTTCTGTTTTCTGATAATGGGGGTACCTGTATGGCCGTAAATTGGGTATGTCTGATCCTTCTTTCAACCTGATGGCATGATCTTGTCTCCTTGTTGGTGGTAGGCCTTCTGGTTCTCTGAATACTTCCTCAAAATCCTCCAAAATTTTATCAAGTTCCTGAGGAATAGTGCTCTCTGCATTAGTTTCATTAGTTAATTCTTCACCTTCGATGAGTTTGCATTCAAGGAGAAACCCTTGTGCCTCATTTTGTAGAGCCTTGACCAACTCCTTGAAAGACACAGCAGCTCTGGAAAGTCCTGGTTCACCTTTCAACACCATAATTCCCCCTTTCATAGGCACCTTCAATGAGAGTTCCCTGAAGTTAGCTCTGATTTCCCCCAAGCCAGCCAGCCATTCCATGCCTAGCACCACATCCACCCCTCCTAGGTCAAATATGAAGAAATCCTGTTGAATTTTTAGTCCTTGAATTTGAAGTGCTACCTGAGAACAAACCCCTTTACACTTAATTCTCCGACCATCCCCCACTTCCACAGTGTATGTTGCTGTCTCAGTAACGGGTAATTGTTTATCGTGAACAAACGTGGATGATATGAAATTATGGGACGCTCCGCAATCCACTAATATAGCCACCTTTGCACCTTCAATCTCAACCCACATTTTGAAGTTAGTGCAGTAATACTACACATTGACAGATGTAATTCTTCAAGATCTGCTCCGTCCTCTTCTTCACCTCCTCCTTCTTCCGCTTCACTTAAATTGTTGCTTAGGATTAGCACCTGGAGTTGCTTATTTCTGCAAATATGCCCAGGACCAAATTTCTCATCACACCAAAAACATAATCCTTTCCTAGTTTTCTCTTGAAACTCAGCATCTGTCAACTTCTTGAACCCCCTCCCTCTATAAGAAACGGTTGGTTTATTGCTGTTAGACTCAACAGAACTAATTCCTGTGTTGTTTCCAAGATTGTGGTTCTTGGCTCCCGTTTCGCATGTCACCGTTCTTGACGAAGGATAGCTTTTGTGTGACCCACCTACCTTATTATTTCCAGGAACCCCTTGGCTCAGCAGCAAATTTTTCTCGTCAATTCTTTGGGCAAAATCCATCAATTCTGGTAGAGTTGATAATTGGTGCAACTTCAACTCTGCCCTAACTATGTCTTTCAGTCCGTTCAAAAATATCCCTTTCAAATACTCAGCCTCGGTACCTTTAAGGGGTCCTGCATACAACTCAAATTGCTCACGATACTCTCCACCGTTGTCTCTTGTTTAAGACTCAACAGCTTTTCATACAGGTTTTGTGCCATTGAGGGTTGAAATCTCCCTATTAAAGCGGTGCGAAAATCTTCCCAAGTAGGGTTCTTGGAACAAAATTCCCACCATTGGAACCAAGTTAGTGCCTTGCCCTCCATTGCTACCATTGCCGCTTGCAACTTTTCTTGCTCAGAGATACCCCTTAAGGTAAAGTATCTCTCTATTCGACTGACCCACCCGTAAGCATTGTCTTCGGAAAATATGGGAATCTCCAATTTCCTCCATCGATCTCCCTCGGACTGATGTCTCGACCCACTGCAATTGCTCGAGTTCCCATTGCTCTCATGGTCGCTGTCCTCGGATTCCGCTGCTGACTTCGTGTCTTCCTGGTTCTTTCGATTGACAATGATCATCAATTCGTCGAGCCATTTTTGGGTTTCTTGCCTGTCCTCCTCGAGCTTCTTCAGCAGGTTTTCAAACCCTCGCTCCATACTATCTAACCAGGCTTCCATTCGCCTATCCACCATGAATATTCTCCTAGGTTCGAGAGCTCTGATACCAGTTGTAAGGAACTGGTTCAGTTTTGAAAAGTAGAAGTAGGAATACTGAATATACTTTTATTGAATGTTCTTTGTCAAGAAAAATATCCCAATCTGAGAGAAAGAATCAAAGAATACAAGAATATCCAGGACTTTGAGAGCCTAGTCTCTCCCCAACTGACCTATTATTAATCCACCGCTAAGAACTTCCCTTTTTCCCCCTAACCCTGTTTATTCTCTGTTCTTTACATTTTCGTCAGCTAATTGGGCCTCTTTTCTTCTATTGGGCCTCCTTACATAGACTTTACTAATTGGGGGTTTGGGCCTATTACTAACATAGAGTTACTAGCTTCATAACTGAGGTAGCAGAGGTAGGATCTAACAGAGGAAGAGAATGTAAATTTAAGTGAATTTAATCAGTTGTTCAATCAGTTTTAGGTGGGAGAGATTGATGAGAATCTTGAGATATCACAAAAGCTAGCCATTTAATTAGAGAGTGCAATGCCTTATAAACCCCACACTAGAATCCCATTCTACCAATTGGATCCTAACATCTTACCACGCTCTGTAGCCCTGGCATCCACACAGGTTGATTGTGCACTAGCCCTTTGACTAGTCTTGGGAAAACACTACAATACTGGTGTCATGTAGAATGTAACACCAAAGGTACTCTTTTTGGCAGGATCTTCCCTAAATATACCTAAAGGACTCGTCTAGGGTGGGTATACCCCAATTCAAGTATAGAAATAATGGGAAAGTCAATATTCATAAAAAATTAACAATGGTGTACAAAGAGAGCCTATTTACAAGTGGCATAAATCCTAAACTCAATATGGACCTATATAGATAGGCCCAATAAAACAAAAATAACTAAAGAAAATAAAATCCCTAAATAGAAAAATAACCCCAAATCAAAAGCTCTAATCAATGTTAAAATCAGGATCTTACCTAGGATCGGGAGGGGGGTCAAAAATCGTAAATCGTGAGATCGTAAGATCCTACCAAACATGTAAAACTATACTTAAATATATATATAAGCATAAAAAATAACATACATAAAGAAATTAATATCTAAATCACATAACTTAATTAAATATAACTTAAAAGTCATAGATTCTAGATCCAATACAACACATAATTAGTCAAACTAGTACTAATCTATTACAATAAATTTTGCAAGCCCCAATTTTATAATTGAAACACCATTCCAAGACCCAATTTTATAAAATTATAACACAACCAGAAATAATATTCTGTTAATCAAAATTCTTAATCTTACCTCACAGTACTTTAATTATTTTCTTTATTTTTAGCACTTTTACTTCTGTTATTAACATTTTTACTACCACAAACTATTATAATGTTTATTTATTATTGTTATTACTACTGTTATGATTATTATCACTTGATTTTTTCTTCACTACTATTATAATTACTTTTATTGCTATAGTTACTAATATATTAAAATCTATAATTTAACTTTAATGTATTTCCAACTTTGTCTGCATTTAATTAAAAATGGAAAAATTGAATTATAATTTAACTAGAAATTATAGTTATATGTCTTGATTGTTTGCACAACTAAAACATAATAATTACGTTCTAAATCAATTTCAATTTCATGCGTCTTTAAAACTCTGGTTAACATTATCGTATAAAACATAATAAAAGCTTGGTTTCATATCATTGTTGCCATCAAGTAGCTGCAAGCACCAACCAACAGCAAATACCAACAAACACCGACCAACCAGACCAGCCTGGTCGCATGGAAGAGAGAAGATGAGAGAAAGGGAAAAAATTACCCTAGAACTATTTTTTAAAACCGGGTTAGAAAAACCCAACCCGGAAATCCAACCTGCAAAAGCCCAACCCAAAAATCCAAGGCCAGAATCTGACCCAAAAACCTGCACCCAGGATCGGATCGGATCGCTGATCCTACGATCCTATGGGAGAAGATTGGGATCCCAGCCGATCTTACAGATTTGCGATCCCAGTTCCAATCAAGATTGCGAGGAAGGTTTAGGGTCAAAAATCGTACAATCTTGCGATTTTAATCGTTATTTTAACAACATTGACTCTAATTATAAAATCAAGATAAAAAATAATTCCAAATCAAAATTCCTAACTAAATCAAGTAACACAAATCAATTAACCAATACATCACAACATCATCACTTGCACTGCTTATTTGTATCTAATAGACATGGTGGAAGGCTCTAATAGAAGTTGATAAGAACCTCAAGAGAATCACATCATTAAAACTAGTTGGAGTCCAATGCCTTATAAACTCCACATTACAATCCTATATTTTCAATGTAGGTCTTAAGTTCCATAATCAAGACTAAGCTCTCAAATGAGAATTCTATTGTAAGCCGTTCTTGCTCGTCACGTTGTGGTCCTTAATTGGAAATGAACAGAACAAAGATAAAGATCTTTACTCCAAGGATCTCCCCTTTTTAAAGGATTTCTCTTTCAATAACAAGGCTAATGCTCATTTCTCAGTTGATAGAAAATAGAATGTCTCTCCCTTCTACCCTTCCTTCTGTTTTGGCTAAACCCCTGTCCTTCTACCCTCTCTAACTAATTGTTGTAACTAAGTATAAATACTATACTATATCCAGTAACTATTTATATTTGAGAATCCCTAACAGATCCAGTGTAAATCTCTGTGTTTTGAACCAGTATCTTTCAGTGGGTTGTAAAGTTTGAAATTTGGATGTAGTTGAAATGTAAGTTTTAGTATATATGGTTAAATTTCTTAAAATCATACTAATTTATGCACAGGTTGAATGTGTAAATCCTCAATTTGATGCTGTCAAGCGGCAATGAGTTTTTAGTTAATTATATAAACAATTTTTTTTTTAATTTATTTCTCTTGCTTGGTTGTATACTTTTAGTCAGCTGCAGGAAGAAAATATTATCGTATTGTACTAATTTCATGTCTAATATTTTTATTAGTTAAGCTTGGTGTTGGAGGGTTCAGCATGGGAGCAGCTACTGCCCTGTATTCAGCATCCTGCTTTACTGCTGGAAAATATGGCAATGGCAACCCTTATCCAGCCAACCTAAGTGCAGCTGTTGGATTAAGTGGCTGGCTTCCATGCTCAAAGTCTGGCCTTCTGACTCTATTTTTGTTCATCATGTTAGTTTGATTCATCACACCCCTCCCCATACCTGCTTTATAATATTATTTAATGATTTCTGCTCATGTGTAGGACCTTGAGCAACAAGTTACAAGGGGTAGATGAAGCTACAAGGCGTGCTCAATCCTTTCCTATTTTGCTTTGTCATGGAAAAGGTAATTATACAAAATTACACACACACACAAATCATTAGAAAAAAGTTGATAAGAAATCATCCATGATTGAAAACATTAAAGACAGCTTGAAAATCTGTAAAACTAGGGCATTTAAAACTAAATGCACTGAGCCTGCTTAGTTTTCTGCAGATCATAGATCCCTTGAAGTAGCCATCATGAGGTAAAGATAGAAACCAAAAACACAGCACTTTCGAATATCACATATGGAGGCTAAGAAAGTAAGAAACAAACTCCTCAAATATACAAGTAATCCTCCAATCCAACCACCCACACCTTAGCACTAGGACTACATGGAATGCACCCAGTACCATATCCTTTATATTTAACCTATAGAAGGGTCCGAGAGTGGAGAAGCACAACCATTGCTTTCCAATAATGCCAAAATGGTTAGTAGCTACCTTCTAGTGTAAGGATGCCCAATGTCTCTGATAGATACTGAATGAAAGACAAGTGTGAGACTATTATTCTGAGGTAAAACCAGCTATGTGATGCAATCCATGAGTTGACAACCTCAAGAATAGCATGAGAGTGGAAACAAAAATTGGAATGTCTATATTAGATACGAAAGAACTTTGAATCTTGAATAAAACATCTTGCAGTCACGTACCTTGGTACAATATTCAAAGTTAGAACCCCAGATATAATGAACAAAAACACTTGAACCCCATGATTATTCTCAGTCATGAACCTCAAGCTGGACACTGACCCAAATGACATATTGTAGGCATGAACTAAAAGCTATCAACACTTTTTGATCCTATGAGATATCAACATCATGAACTCAAATAAGGTGATCTTCCCACAAGAATCTACTTCTTGATACTGTTCTGGAAAGAATTATCAACCTATACCCCACTGGGGGGGGGGGGGGGAATAACTTAAAGAAAATTCTTTTTTAGAATAAATAATCTGCTTCTCTTTGTTGTCCCCTTTTCACCTTTCACTTGGCTTATTATTTATACATGTGCAAATGCTAATGTTAGGAAATTATAATCAAATCATAAACAGAATCTTAATGAAATCCTTACTTAGTCCTACTAATAAAATATGAATAAAATCCTAAACACAATCGTAATAAAATATAAATTGAATCCAAATCAAATCCTATCTAAATCTTTAAATAGTTATCCTTGATCAAATCTGAATGAATTTTAATCATAATAAGATAAGAATCAACTAAAAATTGTATTAATATTTATAACAAATCTTTTCAAATCTCTTGCACAAGTCCATTGAATGCTTCTCTCTTCATATTGATTCGTCCTTAAATCGTAACTCTTACTTTTACTTATATCAATATATTCTTCAACTACTTTCTTTTTTACTTTTTTCCCCTTTTTTTCTTTTTCAAAGTTTTCCTTTATCCTACAAAAAATCAAACAAGAACCTAAAGCGGAAGATGATGACTATAGAAATAGAAAAGAAGATAGGTGTATGATTTAGAGTCGATGCTCTGATACCAAACTGATGCGATGCTTGAGATGATAGCTAAAAAATATCATGAGAAGCAAAAGCAAATATTGAAACGTTTAAATCAAGTATAAAAAAGAACCTATATTACACCCAACCCGTTGACATCTTGTAGTCACAAATCTTGCTACAATATTGAATGTTGGAACCAAAGATATGATGAGCAAAACTCTTGAACTCCATAGATTATACTCGCTCACAAAGCTCAAGCTGGACATTCTCTGTTGTCTCCTGTTCTGCTTTCACTTGACTCATTATTTATACATGTACAAATGCTAATATTAGAAAATTATAATCAAATCCTAAATAGAATTCTAATGAAATCTTTAATCCTACTAATAAAATATGAATTAAATCCCAAACAAAATCCTGATAAAATATAAATCAAATCCAACTAAATCCATCCCACAAGATCCACCCCATCAAATAGGGGCAGCTCAACCTTCCGCACTGCCATTTGATATTCATGGAGATTATCTCCAGCGGAAAATGAAGTCCCACTGCCTTCTGTAGAACCACTGCCTCCGCTGTAACTATTGTTTCAATCATTGGAAGCCTGACAGTCCAACTTCTTAGTCATCTCCATTAATAAAGATTGTTGAAACTCTACCATATAGAGTTTGGTGGAATCTTCAATTGCAGAAAATTTAGCTTCTAGAGAATCAATCTGATAAGAACCTAGTATCATAGAAAAAAATAGTGATAAACCCCAATTTTAAACCTAGAATGCCACAGAACTTCGAGGGTCTGCACCTCCCAATGTACAAAGGCCCTAATTTTCTCTCAAATGACAAGATATCCTTCTCTTAACCTCCCCTCTTATTTATATAGGCAGCATGCTTTTTTCAAACTAACTCACTAATGTAACTAACTCATGAGGGGTTATCAAACAATCCTATCAGACATCTTTGGTGGCAATGACTTTGTCAAAATGCTTCCTCCGGCTGGTCAGACAAGTGTGAGACTATTATAAGATAAAACCAACAATGTGCCTGAGCCCTTATAATGGAAACCAGAGCCTAAGCTGCTCAGAGACTAACTCTCCTTTCCTCCTCCCTCTATTAACACACTGCATAGCATAACAAATTGGCCAGCTCAGCACCATAACTAACTCTCCTCCGTGCACATCCCTTTGTCTTGTGTGTATAGGCATTCCATTTCATGGGCCTCCCATGATTTGAGCCCATTAGCTGATCCATGCCTTGTACTTGTACCAGGTCATTGTCCACATGAGATACCATGTCTTGTGCTCTGTCAGTCCCTGAACTAGCTGTACTCGTAGCATATATATAGAAATGAGTGATGCTGCGTATGAGATTTACCTGTTAATCTCTTCACTATTGCTTATGAGGGATACATGATAATTATGTTCTGTTTCTACCTAAGTTGACAGTTTGCTCATGTTTTTGGTTTTGCTTAATTTTTATATGAAACAGATTTTCAACTAAAAGCTGTGTATTATTATAATGAGCTTCTCTAAACAGAGACAATAAGCTTAATTTAAACATGAATTTCTACTACACTTCTCAAGAAGCTTCAAGGTGTTCAATGTAAATCATACGTAGGCAGGGTAGGTGCACCGGGCCTTTAGTTGACGAAGACCAAAGTTATTGCTGACTTACGATTTCTTCAGTGCTCTACACTCGTGCTTTAGCCAATGTTGCAAAAAATTCAAACATAAGAAGTTATACCTGCCTGGGCGACACTCACTATTTATTATTAGACTATGTATATATTTCCTTTAGTGTCCATTGTTTAAGGCTAAATACTATTCATGTAGCTTACAGAAAATTTTCCGTATATTTATTGACATATAAACTGTAAAATTTCAATTTATAAACTGCTATATTGCTGGAGATTAATCTTAATATTTACTGACATTACAATTTACAAACTGTTGGTGATTTAACTTAGAATTATGGACAGAATATAACACGCTTGTTCTTTCAGGTGATGATGTGGTTCCCTATAAATTTGGTGAGAAATCATCAAAGTGCTTAAGTTCAAATGGATTTCAGGATGTCACTTTTAAACCTTATAATGGGTAATAAACGAAAATCATAGAAAGATTTTGTTTTTTGTCTCAGGTGATGATATATTTTAACTGTCTTTTATTCTGTCGTGGTTCTACATTTAAACAGGCTTGGACACTACACAATTCCAGAAGAGATGGACGAGGTCTGTGCTTGGCTAACGTCGAAATTGGGCCTTGAGGGGAATCCTGCCTAGTTAGCAAGGAAAGGAGTCAAGATTTGAAAAATAATTCTTTCCCGTTTTTGGTCCATTGTAATTTTATGTCGTGCCAGATTTGTTTAAGAGTTCTGTTGTTGATATATCCATATCCATAACCCATTTGTAAACATATTGGCCCAAAGGCATCTTTACGACAATGTACTATACTAATGATACAAGCTTGGGTGGCCCTTAAGCATGGTGATGGATTATTGCTAAAATATTATGTTAAAAAGGATTCTTAAATAGTGTTTGGGTTTTAATTTGATTTTTTCAATATCTTTTTGGTCATTCGTTTTAGTATTTGTTAAATCATCTCATTTAGCGTGGGATGCATCATGGTGTGTTGATCTTGTTTGAGTGGGCCTCCCCCATGGGATTAATAAGATGCATTGAAATTCATTCTTCTCTTCTCCTTTATCTGTCGTCATCGTTTTCTTCTCCTTTCTTTTTGGTCATGTCATCATTCCTTTCTTATGTTTTCCCCTTGTCTTTTTTTCTTGGGGTCAACATATTCCCCTCTCTTTATCTTTTGTCACTCCACAAGAGGTACCGTCACCCTCAGCAGCCCAACACCCGTAAAACCTAAAGTATCAACGCAATGGGCCAATAATTGAATTTCTTTTCGCAATGCTCCTGTTTTAAGTACATCAATCTTTTTGGGTAATTTTTAGCATGGGAAAAGTTTCAACTTCCGCATCCGTAGGAGTTAAAATTTATTGCTACTTTGTCTTTTACCAGACTTTTGTTATGACTTTTAGAAAAGACAATTGCATCAGTTCTTAAGATTATATAGGATTTGCTAAAGTATTCGGGGGTGTTATTGGCCAAATTTTTATTATCATTGTTTGACCGTGGTTAATATTACTTTCAAATGAATATTTTTCTTTAAAAATGTTTCTTAAAAATGATTTATTTAGTTAAGACTTAAAACACGTATATCCAACCAATAGAAGTGTATGATATCAACTGCTTCGTCATAGTAAATGTAAACAACTGTATTTGTCGGAAAATAAAAATCACAGCATACTTATGTCATCTAGGAAAATGGAGAAATATATTTTACATGATGCTTCAACTCTTAAGGAAAAAAAAATTGCCTTTAAACAGCTGTAAGACATTTCTTTTTAGTGCTTCAATTTTTAAAAGCGAGTTTAAAAATGTTTTACCTTCTTTTTAATTATGGTCGTAATAATATGCACTTAGTTGCTTTTCGACCATTGGTGCCCGTGTATCACCAAAAAAAACTATACATATTTTAAGGTTTGGTCTTTAACACACGAACTTTTTATTGTTTTTTTTATTTAAATAATAAATTTTTAAAAAAATATTTAAAATATAATTTTTTTAAACTAATTCCTTGTTTAGTGCTATTTTTGCCATATCAGCCGTAGTATCGTTCATGTATGGATGATAGTAAGTTATTATTATTATTTTAATGAATTATTGTCTTAGGATGACTGATATTACACAAGAGATTGACACATGTCAAAATCATATGTGAATTGAATGAGATGAGGCGATAATTGTGTCACTGGTCAAAGTGTGTTAATACTATCTGGTGGCAGAGGATGTAACACCCTCCTTTTCTTAGTTGTTTATTTGTTATTAATTATTGTTGGATTGTGTTTTAATTTGAAAGTCCTTGAATGAAGTTTGTTGTAGAAGGTCTCGCTCAAGCGAGATATGATAAAGTCATCCCAACTATACTCTCGTCCAAGCAAGATGAGCTCGCTCAAGCAAAGAATCGTAGGGAAAATGAGTAGCTCTCTGGACCCCTTCTCGCTCAAGCATGAATATTAGAAAAAGCCAAGAAAATCATGTCTGATGTTTTTGCTTAAGCAAGATATGTCTTGCCTAAGTGAGATGGTGTAACATCCTTAATTTTTTATGCAATATATATACAACAATTCATATAAAAAAGGGAAAATACAGTAAACTTTCTTTTATATTTATAGCTTGAGTGATAAAAAAAATTCACTTAAGTTTCCATTGTTCAAATTTTAAAAGGAAGTCAAAGTCATAAAGAAACACAAAACTTTAAAGAAATAGTTTTGAAATTTTAAATTTATAAATAAAGTAAAGTTGAAATTTACATCTTAATAATTTGACTTCCACTTTATTACCACCACCTCTAAAATTCAGATACAAAACTATTATTTTTCTTCCCACAAATCAATAAAATATCAATTATTTCACAAATTAATTTTTACATTTTGATTTCTCAAACAATAATACAGCAGAAACACAAATTTTTGGAGAGAAATTTTTAAAATCACTCCAAATTCTCTCTTGGCTAGTATTAATGGAGGAAAAAAATGATGGAGGAAGGAGAAGAAGAAATCGCTCATGACACCTATTCCCATGAGGCCACTTGTCAAAATCTAAACAAATACCGCCCAAGATGGTCAATGCTAATTTTAGAGTCAAAACTAGTTAAGATTTGGACACATGGCAAACTTTCTCCCTAGCTGTCCATTTTAAACATCTATCGTACCTAATTGGTTGATGCTAATGTACCTATGACATGTGTCCTATATCATCTGAATTCCTCCAATACTATTTATGTCTTTTTATTATTTTTTTTCTTTTATTTTCTTTATCAATTTTTCAAGCCCTTGATAGATGACGTTAAGTCGCTATCAAAACAACTAAGTTTTCTAAAGATTTTGTAGTATAAAACTAAACCTAAGTTGATTCACATAGACATATTTTCGATTAAATTCAATTTTAGGTTTTCTTTTTAAAGAATACGAGTAAACTTTTGAGAGTTGAAATCTGCAAATTAATTAATTAAACTACGAACATAATAAAATTGAGTAAAAACAACTGAAGAAATATCAATCCACAAAATACCAAATGTATGTAACTTTAATTATCGCAGTATCTAAAGATTTTAATCCGAATTTGAGCATTTATCCAATTCAATTATTAATTCAATCGAACAACCTAATTGAACTAGATCACCCTAATTTTGATTAGGAATCTTCATGGTTTAAAACCAAATGAGTATATGTATTTGTGAGTGTAAATAAAATTTTTAAGCTTACATCTAAATAGATATAACACCTATTTATTTCGTCTACAAGACCCTTTTATGTTTCCTGAATTTTATCTAGTAAAATTATAGAAACAATTTCCAATTGAATCACTTATCTAAATCCTCAACAATCCTGTAAAAAGGGATATGTAAAAAGGGATATGTTTAGGAACTGGAGTATGGCAGCATCTTAGAACATATGTTCAAAATTAAATTTTTAGAGCATCCCTTCAGTTTACTCAATAAAAGCTTGCATAAGAAAAACTTCTATTAAAACCAGTGCAGAACAACAATAATGTTAAAGAGAAGCAGAACCTTACCAACTTCCCCATGATACCGAGACAAAGATGAAATAGTCACCTTCTCAACTTTCCTTCAATTTCTTTCCAAATTTCATGCTGCATGAAAAATGGTATGTTGGCTTTATATCTAAATTACACATGTTACCTCCCTTCTGTAATCATGACTCTTAGAGAGTTCACCACATTTGAGGTTTTAGTGCTCAGTGACATCACAACTATTATACAGTCCAGAGATTTTACTGCACAACCCTCCCTTATCAACCTCTACCTAATCTAATGCATGGAGAAAGTGTAGGTGTCTTCATATTTGAGCTGCACGTGTATTTCTCCACCTTCTTATTGCATGAGGTAAGGCTAGATGGCCATGCAATTGAGCCACACATGTACTCCCTACCATTACTGCATGAAAAAAGATGAATGACCTTGCAATTAAATCACATGTATAGTCCTTATTACTATTCATGCTTAGCTTGCATTTTGGTGGCACCTAAATTGCATGTCATAGTGTGCCTAGTAGAAAAAAAATAATACTAAGGGACAGAACATCATAACTGCTTCCCATCTTTGTGCCATATAAACACTACACGAACACTCACCCTTCCTCTCGTCATAGTACTCCTTCTAATCCCTTCTACTACCTTCCAGCCCACTTGTTTTCAAATTCCTAGCACTGCAGGATAATAGACTTCCAATAAAAGGCGTCATCCAGAATATTCTACCTCTCTTCACCTGAGTTATATAATTAATAAAATCATCTTTCCAATGACATATCTTGAGCTCAAATCCGACACCTTTTGCCCCTTCAAACGCATAGAATACGTAAGCACCTTCATTTTTACGTTTTCTATAGAAATAATATAAAGAAATAATTTTTATGTACTCTGCAAAGAGTTGTTTTTTTCATAAACTATATGAAAATATCTTTCCAATACATTTTTATGTTAATTTTGGACTTCATTTAAATACCTTACGACATGAATTACAAAAATGGTACAAAGCTAATAAACCTGCATGAATAGTAGTAAAATTTGATTTTCCTGCACCTTCCTGTGTTTTAAAACTTAATTTTTAAAAATTGATTTTGATCCTCAGAGTCTTAGCTTTCTAAAAAAATTTACGGATCATGATTTAGACTTCGTTTGAATTCGTTACGTTTAATTTTATAAACATTGCACAAATATGAAGGTTTTTAGTTTTCTGCAATAAGTGCATAGCTGTTTCTAAATTTTAAAAAATTCTAGCTCTTGGCCATTTTGACTTAAAGGATTATGATAAACTCCTCTCTGAATTCAGAATGTAATGAACCAAGAAATTTCAAATACCAACACCGGGAAGTCCAAGAAAAAGAACCTGCGGACTACCTCACTCACCAAGGTAAGGGGCAATCCATTATTGCTAGATTGTCACCTTGACTCTCCTCATCCCTTCCATTAGATGATGCAATGAATACTCACACCAACGCATAGTCATTCATTAAAGACAATCGTAAGTCATTAATCTGAATGATCAACCCAAACAACAATCAAGGGTTTCTATTAATTCTGTGAACCACATATATTACTTAATACAACCAATCAGACTCAAACAGAGTATATTGGGCATATGTGCATACATTCTATTCATTAAGTTATGCATTACTCAATAGTAACAACCTAGCATTACCGGTAATAGCACTATATATGTATATGTATCTATGCACAAGTAGGTGTACCAACTACATTTCATCAAAACAAGAATAATAGTCAAACTTAAACGGGGTAGAGTACATGTACACACACATATGTATTATACTTGTTAGTTCACTTAATTATGTGTATTGCCTAATGCTAACAATTAAGTACAACAAAATGGTATATAAATTCATAAACATACAAGTCATTTCACCCAAATACAAGCATTATTTAACATAAACAATAAATCTTCAACAGAGTATAATCATAGATGCATTTATATAATTTCTTCCTTTCCACAAGATAGGGAATGTTCTTAGTCATTAAATAGATTCAAACAACATACATAATTAACTATTCTCACAACCACACATGTCATTAGATAATTTATAATTTGGTTTAAGTAATGGTAGCATCTATGCGTACTTATATCCATTTCGTCCACTCAAAATATGTATAAGTATTCTATTTTGATAACAAGTCAGTATTTATAACAGTATAATTTAGAATTGATAATAAATAATCATACACACACACACACACATATATATATATATATATATATATATATATGTATGTATACATCTATATGTCTCATTCTTATTAACCTCACATAATCTTCAGGGTTGGATTCTAATTTCTCTCTTATTTTTCTTTTGGTTTTTGAGTCTTTTCCTATCTAGGGAACATAGTGTTTATGAGTTTATCTACTCTTAAGCTTGTCATCGGCCTATGTTGAGTATTCAAGAATTAAAAGCCAAAACTGAAAGACAAAGTCAAAACAAAATACTACAAGAATACAGTCCATAAGTACAACTCATTTACAATCAATTCCAAACACATAATAACACCCAAATCTATTATTATAGAAATCTCTATCCATCCTAGTACATATTTGTGAATACTCATTTTTGTCCAGATCACAGATTTTATTAAATAATAAATGATGAATTTCAAAAAATAAAAAGGATAATTAAAAAGACATATAATCAATAAAAATTATAAAAATATTCTGTAAGTTATAATTATTGTTTCTATTTTTTATTTTAGTTAATTTAGAAATATATAGAATAAAATAAAAATAATCAAGGTGTATAAAATATACTTAATTTCCTTTTATTAGATATTAATGCTATTATAAATAGTGACTAACTTCCACACACAAGAACACAAATTTTTCACACGAAGACATTTTACATGAATTTCTTTCAGAAAGAGCAATTTTGAGGAGAGACTTTTTCAAAAGGAATTATTACACATTACTCTTCTATTCTGTTTGTCTTTCATTGTAAATAGTAATTATTACACAGATGTTTCTTTATTTTTTTTCTTTCATTATTTTACTCTTTTTATCTTTTTTTTAATATTTTTTGTGTGTAGTTCCTTCTTCCTTTTTTTTTTTATCTTTATATTCTCTTTCTCTTTTTTCTTTGTGTTTCTCCTTTCTTAAGCGTTACTCATTGTGCAAAAAAATAGAAAAAATTAATAAAAAAGATTCTTTTTCAATTAAACACCCTAATTATTATTTTTTTAAAATAAAATATAAAGATTAATTTTTTTATTAAATCCATCAAAAAATAAAAAATAATTTTTAAAAAAAGAAATAAAATAATTTTAAAATTTTTAGATTGTTGAATCTTGTAAAATAAAATATAAAAAATTTAGAATATTAAATCACTTTTAAAATAAAGTCTTTTTTCTATTTAACTCTTTCTAAAATAAAATATAAAAATTGTTTCCAAACTAAAATATAAAAGATATGTTTTCAACTTATTAGGTTTTTGTCAATTTTCAAATAAAAAAGATTATAAAATCATTTTGTTTTCTAAATAAAATATGATTTGAAATCAAGAATGCTTTTGAGATCTCAAATCTTGTTTTTCTAGACGATAACAATTTATATCTGACAATTTATACTTGAGACACATTTTCAAGAATTAAAAAAATTAAAAATAAGAAAAAAAATATATAGAGCCAATATTTAAATTTATTTTGCACTATTTAATCTTAAAATATTAAAATACTATTCATTTAAATAGACGAATAGAAATATTAATACTTTCTTTATTTGTAACTAACTCCTGAACTCAGAACTCTTAAAATTTTTTTTAATATTTATTTTTATAAAAATTAATAAAATATTGATGGCAGCTTTACATTTTTTTTAATAAAAAAATCTATTCTTTCACAGCTGCAATTTTTTGCCCACCAACAGACAATATTCATCCAATCATACCTAACATAAATTGTGGACCTGAAAAGAGGTGAAGGAATCAGAATTTCGCTTACCATCATATGCAAATATATATATATATATATATATATATATATATATATTTTATTTATTTATTTTTTTTATTTATTTTTTTTTTTTTCAGGTCCACAAGGTATGGATTTATTTTGATTTGAACTATAGGTATAACTCACCACTTATCATACCTATACCCTGCATGCACATGGTGACACGGTATATTGTGTCCTACACAAGTTTTACACCTTTATTAATTTGGACAAGAACAATAAAAAACATGCGTCTTTCACGCTAGTAATATGCTTAAACTTGTAATATACATATTAGAGGATTTAGAAAAAGCATTACCAAAAGCAAACAATATGAATCATATTACATCACCACAAGAAAAGTTATAATTCCCAGTTCAGATTTTTATATATAGCACATACAAGAGAGAATAAAATTTAATTGCTCAAATTAAGCCCGAGACATTAAGCAAAAAAGGATTTCATCCTCATATACAATCTAAGTTTTATAATTTCGGTATAGTATTATAATTATGAAAAAAATGTTACACCCTATTTCCCTTTTTTATTTTTAACTCTTAGTGCAGCAACCAAGTTAATAGATTTCATTATACCATTAAATTTATAGTTATTATCTCTCGGTCTAACAGCACATGCAGAACGTCTAAATCAGAATAGAAAGAAAAAGGAATTAAGGGACATTCAAATTTTCATAGATTATCAGACAAATTACTCGCATATGTAGTATGGACTGTACTTTATGGTAAGGTGTTTCCTCCTTATTACATGATAACACGAGATTTATTTATGCATGCAGACAGATTTTAACTCTTGGTTGCAGAATGTATTTTATTCTCCACTTAATTATTAGGTGGTTAAAAAAAATAATGAAGTTGAGGAGTAGAGTGGAGAGGCCTTATTGTCCAAGATGAGTTCTCAGAAATCAGTGGTATCAGGAAATCACTTATTTTCCTAATCACGCAGTCTTAGTCACTGAGTTCAAATCAAAATAAATCCATACAGAAAATAAGGATGATCGAATAAGAGATCCAAGATTAATGACATGCAACACATTCAGCATTATGGTCGTGCATCATGCAAAAGATTTAAATCATCCGTCACTCATTAAATAGCTCAGACATAGGAAAAATTCAGAAAATATACATGCAAATCATCGGATCACAATCAGAGATACTGAAAATCAAAGTACACACACAAGATCGTACATGCACACATACAACTCACCAAGAACACTAGGACTCCCCCTACCTTAGTTTATCCATGAAATAGGAGAGAGATGGGGTGCAAGAACTTCCTTCCGGTGGCAGAGTTCAGGCTGGAGACTCGGTAGCTCGTTAGCTTGGACGCCAAGGGACACAGTGAACGAAGAATGAGTGAAGTGATGGGTGTAGGTGTTTTGAGGGATGACGACCTTAGTCTCTCAGTATTCTTGACTTGCTTTTTAACAAGGTTTTTCTTCTGGGGTAGCAAAAGAAATGGGATCTAGAAAGTTGAGTGCTCCTTTTATACTCACGTCACTACTCTAAGGAAGTTCATACACTTAGCCCGCATTACCTTCTCTCCTTTTCCAGTGAAACGTCGCCCCTCAATGACGAGTCGGGGTGGGCAACAGCCACCTAATTGGTGTAATTAATGCAGCTGTAATCT